TCAAGGTCAAATATATTTGATTCGACGTTACAGGATTGATCTAACTTTAGTACATGCTAAATATCAGACAGAGGTTGTTGGAACGTTAAAACAAATTAAACCCGTGTGAACTTGTTTGTGGGTCAATGCAATTATATTGACCAACCTTAACACACTTGCTGCTGACATGTTACAGGTCAAACATTTAACCTTGGTTTTTTGGATTTTCAGAAGAGGTTGTTTAAAGTTTTCAAACATTTTGAAAACTACGGCCTTGAAAGGTTGTTCAGCATTTATTTGATCAAATTCGAAATCCATAAATTATACCCTAGCATCTTTTTGGAGATTCAGCATAATTCATTTGTTTACTTGAACATTTGACCCCTGGGACGACGATAGAAGGTAATGGTTATGTATTCGAATGAAGTTGTTAGCCTGTTATCCCAGCATAACGCCTGAAAGACGACGGAATATATGCAGGACATAAGCATTCTTAGCCTTCGGGCAAATGTACTTGAAAGAAGCTACGGTTTCTGATTCGGATATATCAAAGTCTTAACGTGCATGTGTAGATTAATATTTTTATCAAGTGAAAAAACTTAGCAAGTTATAATGTGATTTTTAACGAACATCTATCGTAAGTATCTACCTACTACATACCTATTTAATCATCATGCGCTATATATCTGTAAAAATCTCAAGATTTCAATATTAATTTCCTTGATTTACAACAACATTCTCGTTATCGCATGTTTTCTTACTTTAGGTGACACTGTTATGTATATTATGATTAACCAGCGCAGATAAAACCATAGCTTAGATATTAATCAAACAGAGCAGGTAAAGGCAATTTATGTATGTGGGTGTTATTATCAAACAGCACAGGTAAAGCCATATACAGATACAGATGTATAATTGACAATCAAGTAGCACAGGTAAAGCCATATCTCAGAAAAATAGTATCAGCAAACAACGTAGGTGATGCTGTTTTATCTCAGAAATATATAACTGTCATCACATGGAGAACATCTGCTATATGTTAGAAAGTGATTTGTATTCAATTCACCTTTATTTCCATTAATTTTTTGCTATTAATCCTTCCACGATCACAATATTTTATCAGCGGTCGAGTGACTTATAATTGTTTCACCATTCCACAGTATTCGAGACATCATACAAACATACTTAAATACGAAGTATGCAATTCTATGTACTAGACCAGCTTGTGCCTACCGTGTTGTGATACCAAAAGGCCCCCGAGGCAAATAACATTGGTTAATCATGTCTTACAGCCGAACAACACATTAAACAAAATTATGTAATCAGATGGAGACAAAAACAACCACTTAAACAAAAGTACACATATTATGTCATCGTTATAGTCTAATACACACGTAAACACGATTGAACCTATGAAATAAGTTAAAAGATACAGCATATCAAACATTAACTACACTGTACCACACAGCTGGTTGGTCTTTCAATTATGTACATGTATTAACGTTCATCAATTCCAGCTCCATGTCATACAAATTGTTTACATTATACATTAAATAATCGGGACCTTCAAACCAGATGGAATGGTGTTCCTAACCAAGATTAGTTTTTTGGTCTTCTACACTAGTATATCAATCTTCTTGTCCCTGAAACTACGTTGAAACTTATCCTCTCATACAAAATGTATACCCAGTAAAACAACAGCTCAAACTCAGTTTGAACCGTGAACTCAATATATTGAAACATTGAGGTCTGGTCTGGTTCAGACAGAATTGCCTTACACAACTTGGAGCAAATATAACCCAGCGTACCTGTATACATAGCTGTATGAGTTAGTTTTATGGTACTAGATGATGTATTAGACGGGAAAAGATTAAACATTCAGCGCTTGTACTTCCACGGTTATTTTACCAGAACTATTGAAGCCCGGGTATAGATCAGGTATGACATTACGGTTTATCTAGGTTAATTAATGGTAGACCTAATAAGAGAACAGGAACTCACTGGCAATATAATGTTAGCGGGTATAAAGATAAAACTGTTTAGCATACTTATTGTATTAACCTACATTCAGACCTTGTTATCTCGAACTATCAAATCACGAATTAATTATTAAACTCGATATGAGTAAATAAAGGCCAATTCATTAGATGGATAATTGCATGAGCTGTCACTAAATGAATGAATTACTTGAAGATCTGTCGCATGACTTTACAACATTTGTTGGTAGTTCACTGTGGTATTATCGTTAACAGTCATATTTTTTCTCCTGTGTTATCCCCATTAACCACAGCCATTCCTAATACCACAACACCCAGTGTAAGTGGTGTGGAGATGGTGAAAGTGACATTAACAGTAATCCTTTGGTACGTAAAGGTGACAGTTTGAGGTTTCTGAACTAGGTCATTGCTTACAGAGATACGGAGTATAGTCGTCTACACTGTAACTGATCTTACTTCAATACTGGTCACACTGCCTGATGTATCGTTGTTAATCAGCGTACCAAATGATATATAGTAGATTATATCTCTTGTATCTATACAGTATATACTTTATTAAATTAACAACAATAATGAACAAGCTATTACAACTCATATAGATCACTGACCACTGACCCTAAGTGACCCCACACTATTTCACATCCAATCGGGGAAAGGCTAGTGTGTTATCAATTGCGTCAACCTACCAGAAATATGTATGGAATAAATATATCATGCAATATATATGTAATGTAAAATTATGTAACAAGGATTTGTATCCTTAAAACCGATATTTAAAACCTTCGTGTCGTTTCATATTAGCAGAAAATCGTCATTGTTTGTAAATTGAACGTCATATTTTGGCCGACATGTGATTATTAAGACGTGGGTCAAGTAATGCAGGATACATTACTCGTGAAAACGTCGGTCATAGAAAAGAAGGATAACATCGCTCGTGAAAACGTTGGTCAACGTAACGCAAATTTTCATAACTCTCATGAAAACGTCTGTCAAAGTAATGCAGGTCATCATCACTCTCTCGTGAAAACGTCTGTCAAAGTAACGCAGGTCATCATCACTCATGAAAACGTCGGTCAAAGTAACGAAGGATAACATCACTCGTGAAAACGTCGGTCAAAGTAACGCAAATTATCATCGCTCGTGAAAACGTCGGTCAAAGTAACGCAAATTATCATCGCTCGTGAAAACATCGGTCAAAGTAACGCAGGTCATCATCGCTCGTGAAAACGCCGGTCAAAGTAACAAAGGATAACATAGCGCGTGAAAACGTCGGTCAACGTAACGCAAATTATCATCACTCTCGTGAAAACGTCTGTCAAAGTAACGCAGGTCATCATCACTCATGGAAACGTCGGTCAAAGTAACCAAGGATACCATCGCTTGTGAAAACGTCGGTCAAAGCAATCTAACTACACGTATGTTATATTAAACAAATGGACACAGTATCGTAAGTCAATGCGAACCTATATTTATTGCATGTGCTACATACTTAAAGTTTATTCTTAACTAACCTTTAAGAACATAAATGTCGAGTACTCGACCAATAATCTTATATGTTTTTGAGTGGATCGTGTTAAGTGCGTTTATATATCACCCGGAGAAAATATCAAAACAAATGTCTATATTACAGGTCATATAAAGCATATTGGATACTGTACGTCACTTCAATTTGCGCCAGAGATTCAGTTTCGCTCCTTAATTCGCGATGAGACACAATCTCCATGTATATCCACATTATTTAGCGTTGTGTTAAGCTTAACGGTAAATTATCGGATTGCTTTGCAGATATAAAAATATACTACAAATATTGCAGTTTGGCCTCACCAATCGAACCCCTGCAAACTCGGTTGTCTCACTATCTAGTTAGTGTTTAGGGAACAGAGTAGTAGTCTGGTCGTGGTATAGGATCTAGACACTTTGCTGACAATGAGGGTAGTATAGATAATCGAGGCTCCGCTTTTATTGCAAAATAATACCATAGTGGGTGTAAAATCTACCACCGAAACATGCTTGCCCGCATAAGATTGAGACGAAAAAGCTATATAAGTGTCTGTTGTGAATATTTCTGCTTGACGTAACACGATAATTTAGATATATACGTCGTATATCTACCGGGTAATATTTTCTGTTGCCAATTTGGTGATATAACCACTGTCTACCTAGATATGCACACCGTTGGCTGATAATTACATTACATCATAGGGTTGTCCTTGTACGAGTATTGCGTATTAATCATGACAACGTTTGTGGCATCATGATGCCCGCAGAGCGCCTCGTCGCTAATTTAAAATGGTGATTTGTGTTTGAAAAAGGTCAAATACTCTTCAACAAACAAAATGTTTAATGTAATAAATAACAAAAGTTTGATATATATTCCAATGTGCAATGTCAGACATAGCAATGCCGAAGTATTAACTACATTTGACATATAACTTAAGTCTTGACGTAAGTTTTGTATACATATTGACCATCGCAACAGCAAAAGTAACATGCCACGTGCGGATCATCTAATAGTACTGTCTAGTAATAATTGAATGTGGTGTCAGTTAAGAACAATGTATGTGTTTTTCACATGTATAGTGAGGAGAATAAAAACTGACATGACGTTTAGTTTATATTGAGTTTAATAAAACAAGGTTTGGAAAGAAGATTGGTAATGTAAGGTACTATACGAAAACAATAAGTAGTAATTTTGCGCATTATTTACCAGCATTATAAATTTCTTTTGTTAGCCAATTGACATTAAATAAGACAGCACCCATTGGCAATGCCATCAGCTTGATCAAATTGCAAATGCATCGTCTATTGTAAAAACAGTTACTGACGAAAAGATGATTGAAACATATATAGGTCGGCTCCTAAAATGGAAATTGAAAAAATACTTCATGAGTAATTCGTCCGATCCACGACCACCGATTATTTATAATCGTTTAAAAAGTAAGCGGTATCAATACAAGTGTTCTTAGCAGTACGAATAGCGATGGCTATAGAAATAAACGAAGAAAAATACATAAATGTACATACCTCATCTATCGATTGTCAAGCCACGATAGCCCATTCTTTACCAGAGCGAGTTGGCCTGACATGACCTGCTGGTAGGTCATACAACCAGTGAGGTGTATAGTTTAGCATCACAACACTAGTTATAAATATGATATTTAAAATCGTCCAGGTAACACCTAGCGCTTAGATAGACTCGTCCGTACGGTTGAATAAACCAGCTGTCACCGTCAGAGATATTTAGTTGCAATGGTAGGTCACGCATCGAGTTGTAACATGTTTAGTAGTATATCTTGACATTATTAACACTGTACATCACTCTACCCCAGTAAACAACACGTGACGCCTCCGCACACGTGCACTAAAACACACATACACAAACATGAAGCACAGTGTACAAGGCTGATCGTATTATTTACAGAACATGCCGACTGTACTGTAAAAAACAAACAGTTTATGCAAGAGTGGGATCTTGTGGTAGATAACAAAACACGCCAAGGCTGGCGGTAGACAACGGCTGGCAATGTCAAACAACAAAGTAGCACAGTTTTCAGGTAAATGTGATTTTGTAAAAGATGTGGTGTGACGAAGTGACACAAAGGATGTGTTTCATGTACAACGCAAAGAGTAGGGCCCACATAGTACAAGTTCCGTCAACTGAACATTTTCCATTAGAACTGATATATGACCAATGTTTATCAGTGTGCAATGTAAATATAATTAATTATCAAACCTATTTTTCATATACTCGGTACGATGTGTACTCCATAACTACTGTCCAATTCCGACAGATTCTTCTAAGCTAAACTGTGTTTGTTTATCTGATCTGACCTTAATTTCTCCTCCTAAATATATGTCAACTTCCAACCAATATGCACGTCCCCATCCTCACATTGTAACATTGACACCTTAATGGTTTGATTAGTTATTTTAAAGACTTATTAGTTTAACACGTCATCCTAGAACAATGAACTCATCAACAAAAATACATGTTAATGGTTCCAGGACAATCTTTTGAAGTCAAACAAGAAAATCTTTTTAAAAAATAGTTAATGACGTTTTACTGCTCCTGGTAATATATCTATATAGTTATGTCTCTGTGGAATTTATTTTGCTTATACATCTGTAATTACCTATCAACATTACATAGAAGGTTGTAAAATTCAATGAGTATGGTCTTAAATTATTCAACAAGCAAATGGAACGGTAAGACGAACGTGATAGTTTGTGTTTTTTAAGCGTGTTCATGTTGTTCCGACCGGTTGCTTACCACTGTAAATTAACGTTCTTTCAACTTATTAGATAATGGTGTGGGTTAAATTTGTGAGATAGCTGTTTGGTTTAACGTAATAAAATACTTGTTTGGTATTTAACTTAAAAAAGAACCTGTTTGGTTATTTCTAAACATTTTCTTCGGGTTGATAAGTATGGATTATGTTTTCTCTCTCGTTACACAACCAATTAGTGTTTTAATGTGACGTTTCGATGACTTGTACGTTATTGTACATACGCTGATTTGTTGACAACTCGTGCACATTTTACACCTTTGTGTACATACGCTTCACTGGTCATTTGTCTGATAAATGTGACTGTAACAGAAAACATACCGTACTAGTCCTCGAAACGTCATGTTGAAATAGTAATTGGGCACGGTTGTGTAAAGAAAACAAAAACCATAATACCTTTCAGGTGTTATAAAACATTTGTTTAGTTTTAACTTTTAAAACATTTGTTTGGTACATTTAATAGCAAGCTAACAATCTGTATGTTGCTCATGATTTGCATTCGGTGTCTAACAAGAGGCCCAGATAGCCGCTATCGCTCACCTGGATATTTGAACAATCAGGAAAATATCTTCTCCATAAAAGTAGTTTTGCATATATTTTTAAATATTGAGTCTTCTTGGCTTTTCTTGGTTTTTACATATTTGACCCCTGTGACCCTGAAAGTAGGTACCTTATGGCAAAATAAAACTACCCTTAGTCTTCCAACTCAAATTAAAAGTTGACGGACGACGGACGATGGACGACGGACAACACATTCCATAAGCTCAACTTACCTTCGTGTCAGGTGAGCTATAAACCAAGCCCGCAGTTGTCAACTGGCAGAATGACCAATGGCGTCCACTTGGGCATCTTATAACGCAAAAGGGAATTCAAAGGCGATTGTATTGGTTAAGCCGATAATGATAAAAAAAATGCACAATTCAAGATTGTTCTCAAAGACAGCTTTTTAAGTTGTTTTTTATAAGCAATGCTTTCAACGAATCAATCTTTGAACAACTAGGGCTTAATTGAAGTAATTGGTTTTATTATTCTTCTGTCACTTATAATAATAATCGGAGAAGACTGAGTATTTCCTGGAATGGTGAATTCGAGATTACTATAAGGAGAAAACAGTGAAAAATATGGCTTAGATCGTTTTTTCGAGACCCTACCGGCTCAATGGAGCTGCTGTTTTATCATAGAAAATGAAAAGTTTGGGTGAAGTATCAGTTGTTAGATTATGTTCCTGCAGTCCCTAACTATGAAAATAACATATTGTATGGTTAGATTATGGACAGGGTATCCGGGATATAACAATGGTATCTTTAAACAGTTCAATGGAAAGTCTTTGTAAACTTTACTGCGTTACATTATATGAGTTGGCAACTAACTTCTCGTGTCTTTTAAAGAAAATTTCGTACGCTATATTCTTCATAAGCAAATACAATGTAGTTATGCATATTTTATTTGTCCTTTTGTGCTGATGAAAGAATAGGAAATTGTCGGAGCTGTCCATCTACAAAGAATTGAATTGATTTTTTCACCTATGATGAGTGTCAATGACAAAGACAATTAATTTGCCTCTTGTTTACATATTCTATTAGATGTGTGCTTGTGCAAATTCCATCACAGTGAAATTCAAAACACATACTGCAATGTTGGGATTTTTTTCTAAAATGTATACAGTCAATCGTCCCTAATAGAATATTTTTACATTTCATGCAACATGAAAAACTTGTCAAACACGTGCGTCTACATCGTACCCTGTCATGTAGATCAATATCTGATAGGTCAGGCTTCGACGTTTTTATATTGATTTGACGATACTTGATGTACAACGCATAATTCATTCGTATGGTACGCAAACAGCCATTGTATGAGATCGTTTTGTTTTATCGTAAATGATCTTGCATGCTAATAGAGACAGACAGATAATGATAAAAAATTAATAACAACATAATTTATCTTATTTGACTGATAAGCTTTTTGCTAACGACTTTTGCGTCGCCATGTAATTACTAGATAGCATCGTGTCAAGTTGATGCTAATTAAAACATAATTTACTGTTAATCGATGAACACATTATCTGCATATTGTTCATACGTACATTGTAATTATATGATAACAACGTTTGTAACGTCTAGGGAAGTCTATTGAAATGCCATCTCTCATCGACATAAAAAAAGAACGCATGCTTCAATCTCCTTGAGCATCACGATTTTCAAAAATGAATTATGAAAGTATTTTCTAACCTTAATCTAAAATCATGTATAATGAAACAAAGCTATATATAACTATTTCAGACTGCGTTCTGTTTTTTAAGAAAAGTTACCACAGTTTCCAATTTATTGGTTGTAGCAATACTTAGCCAATACAGAATGATATTGAATACAATATTTCGGTTTATTTTGCCATGACAGAGAGTTGGTTTCTCCTGTAGCGCACAAGTGTTTTCCTCTCCATTCATACCATTGCGTTAACTAAGAGAAATCTAATTTTAATCACCACATACAATCATAGAAAGGAAAGAATATATTCTAAAGTCATATCTACCACAAACCAATATATTTTCAGCTTTTAAGATATAAATAGAAACATAGAATACAAAATGTACTTGCTCTAATTTTCCGTTTTTGAAAATTCAATATATTTACCATCTTGGCCAAATCTAAGTTAAGTCCTTAAAGTAAGAATTAATAGGTCAAATGACAGCGAAACCGCAAAGCTCACTATTGAGTAAATACCTGGAAGAACTATCAGATGTCGTTAAGTTCATGGGAAAAAAATAAAAAATAACTATAATAACACACACTGTCAGATCTTAAGATAGAATTTTAATGAGGCGTTATAATTGAATAACAATAAAACTCTGATGTGTAGAATACATGACCTATGGATATATTACGTGACAATATGAATAAGTAAGTCTTGTAATTATTGATGAAATACTGATTTTAGTGAATAATGACATTCCAGACAGTTTATCAACAACATGGGAATTTTTCGGTAAAAGTACAACATGGGTTTACGTCCTTTTTAGACGTCAGTTAACTGCATGTATATAATTACCGAAAACACTGTGAACTTCTGAGAACATTAAACAAACAAGTAGTTCTCAGTTTCCAGCCAACATCTGTTGGGGTTATATAAGTAAATGCATGACATATTGAAAATAAAGCTCAAGATATGTACCTTTAACGAATTTTTTAACGCGTGCAAACTGCAAACAATGGTCGCTAGAGATTGTTTTATACTATTAATAATAATAATATACAACATTTATATAGCGCCCTATATAATTTGTAAAATTACTCTAAGGCGCATTACAACATATGGATAATAGTAATGGTTACAATTGTGAAAACAAACAACAAAGGCTTGCAATCACTTTCATACATTTAACAAGCAATGTGCACATAATTGAACAAATAAAAGGTTGGTTTTTACATGACGTCTTTGCAAAGATTCTAAAATGCAGACATGAGGGGTGAGTTTTTATATCCCTCTTGAACTTGGCCAGGGTATTTGACTTCCTAATAGCAGATGGTAAGCTATTCCACAACGTAGCCGAAACCCTCCCAAAACATCTGTTTCCGTAGGTCACAGTACGAGAATTTGGGACACACAACAAAGATTCTGACTCCAACCGCAGTGATCTTGACGGCTGATACAGGGTAACAAGCTCCCGTAGGTACTGAGGAGCTGTTCCATTCAGTGCCTTGCATGTGTATACCAGAATTTTGTACTGCGACCTGTATCGTACAGGTAACCAGTGCAACGAATAAAGCGCAGGTGTGATGTGCTCTCTCTTTCGAGTACGAGTAACTAGCCGTGCTGCAGTGTTCTGGACCCTCTGCAGACGACTAGTTAGTTTGTCAGATATACCACAGAGCAGGGCGTTACCATAATCCAACCGAGAGGTAACAAGTGAATGCACCAAAATCTTGCATGCATCTGCAGTTAGAAACTGCCGAATACAGCCGATGTTCCTGATCTGGTAGTAACAGGATTTGGCAATAGCGTTCAC